CATATGTTCATGGTTAGAAAGTACCTATTGGTCTTGCTTTTTAAGTATAAAAATAAAAAAGGAACCTTATTTATATGTCAAATAATGGAATATTTATAATTTTTTAAAAATTTTTTTTTTTTTTTTTAAGCTTGAACTTTGAACAGCCCAGCTTTATTTTTCATAGCAGTTCCTGGACAACAGAGAGGTCCCCAGTCTGGCACTGGACTAAGTGTATTGGTGGGAGCACTGCATTGCCTGGACGGTGTGGGCAATCACCTCCTACTGAGCATCTGCTTGTGTTGCACAAACACTGCTCTTAATCATAACGGCCCCAATCCTATTTATTTGGTCCAGTATCAATTTAACTTGGGATTTATTCCACCTGTTTCTTATTTTCATGTTTAGCTACTTGAGACTATTTAAAGAAAGGGAAGAATTTTTCCACACTTACAGGTCAGTTTCACAACTATATTTCAAAACACAAATATCCACCAGTGTGGATATGTAGATAAATAGTTTAAAATAGATCGTGCATCATGATTTCCTTTCTGAACACCAGTTGCCATGATTTGGAAAAGTGAGAACAATTTCTTAAATCTGATTATAAAAAAAGATCTTTTTTCTATAAAAATGCAAGGAACTTTATTGGATTATTTCCCATTCAGCGCATCTCTTTTTACATCATAAATGCACGTTGCCATGCAGCTTCGGTCTTAGCTTGTACACGCTATCAAAAGCTAGAAATTCACATTGTCTGTTTTAGAGTATTCTCATTTCTGCAGGACCCCAGAGACATTATGTTTTTCTAGGTGTATAGCCTGTGTTTTAGACGGCATGAGTGACCTGATGTGCCTTTGTAGCTGCTGGTCCACAGAAGGTTCTATAGTTCAGGTTGTTCCAGCGCTTCTCAAGGGATCCAAGCAAATGTGTGTGGGACCCTTCTGACATTGATTAATTCAGCAGAGGACTCATTCCATCTCAGAAAGAAATATCTGGATCAGCAGCAGAAAATTATGACAGTGTTATGGTATCAGCAGAAACTACCGCCTAGCTACTCTAGAAAGCCCATTCAGTAGTGTATAAGGATTATAACCAAAAAGTACTTATGCAACACAGCAAAGGATAGAGGAGTTATGTCACAGCAGGTGTTGACTACATAGAGCAATAATGATTTTATGCAGGCTGACTAATGACATCCTTTTTGTCTTTGAAAACATATTTTGAACCCTGATGTTGACAGGCATGGGTGAAAAAGCTGCCCCAAATAAAACAAAAGTATGTGTTTCTTCCTTTAGAAGGAATCAAAGATAAAACTACAGCAATGGAGTCTTTGAAGCTCACTGCAAAACATCTGTGCTCCACAAAGATTTAAAAGTAGCACATGGTTAGCAGAAATGCTACCTCTTACAGTTCTGCACTATCCTGGTTAAGCATAGATCTCACCTGTTGGGCATCTAACAGCATGCTTTGCTCTTTAACAGTGGCTGTTTGAACCCATGGTAAACTGTGATGCTCCGTATTGAAACTAAATGGAAAAAAACAGATGGGGTTTGTGCTCCTTCTTGTTCCTTACTCTCTCGTTGTTCACTCTTCCCAGTAAGTGTGAAGGGAAGCTCCATGGTCTTACCCACGGTCCCTCATTCTGCTTCCCTCAGTGTCCGTAATGCAGTGTAACACTCAACAGCGTATCGTCTCTGCAATTAGATTGAACATCTCCTTTCTACTGTATGACACCTGATCTGCTTTTGTACGCTCAAAATAACGGTAGCTAGGAGCTACTGGTTGGTTAGTTAGGTTTGCTTTTTTAACTGATTAAATTTTTCCCACAGTAATCACAACAAAGAAAATCCAGTGGGTATAATCTGTAAAAAGTAAACAGTATGTGTACACTCAGGAAAGTCAAACCACAACAAGAAGCAGCACAGACAGCATATGGCCCTGTTTACATACACAAAATTAACAGTATGAAATCCAATTAGGAAGACGGAGATCGTAATCATCATATTAGACAGCAGTTTCCAGAGTATGTGAACTTGAGACCTCAGCATTTCCTTCCCAGCCTGAATGATGCTGAATTGTTAGATTTATGTCATTCCCTTGGTTTCCGATAATGGGATTGTGGTGAAAGGTCAATAGAGAGCACGAAGCCAGGACGTGAACGATTGGTGTTTCAACGGAGCTTTCAGTAGCCTGTACAGCAGGGCGCAAGCTCCAGAAAAGCTTTACTGCTTACAGGGATTGTGGACAAAGAAATTCCCTAAGCGGTGTCTTCTGCTTTTGTTCAGTCATAGACGGGTAGGATTCAGCTGTGAAAGGGAAAACGTCAAGGGAGTTTGTTGCAAATGGATGCGTGCAAGAAAAGCACGATTTCAAGCTCTTCCGTGCACTGCTGATCTAACAAGGGTTGTCCAACACGGTGCTTCTTGCCATGAGAGACGTTAGACTGATACATCTTTAATATCTGGGTTTATATTTCTCTTTGGGTATCTCTGCTGCATATGGTCAAGTACCTTCTCTTCCTAATAACCAATATTGAAAACTGTCACCTGTTGAAAAGTGTCTCCTGGCACATCTTCCCTTTATGGCTGAGCACTTAGGTAATTCACAAAGAAACAGGAATGTCTGGAACACACAAATCATACTCTGCAGTAATTACCCATTAGCAGCCGGGTTCAACTTTGCAAACCTTTTCACAAAAGCCGTTACCTACATGGTCTTGCTGATACCAGTAGAACAATTCCTAGCTGCGTTCCCTGATGGGAATCGTGCAGTGCCGTACAACCGAGGGAGGGGTACTGGTACCAGGCATCCTGCCCCACAGAAGTGCTGAACCTCAGCCAGGGAAACTGTTACGTACTCTTACTACTTACTTTTCCAGCAATATTTAATTAACCTAACCTTGGGATTACATTTCTGTCTTTTCCAGGGATGCGATTAAACTCTAATAAAATAACCATTTAAACTGTTAAAAAGAGTTTTAAAAAGCTCTAATCCCCTCAAAGAAATTTTTCAGCCCGGTTAATGACTGCTAGCTGAAATGTTACATTTTTAATGAGTTTATCTAAAGAAACTTAGGGAAGGCGCCTGATGCCTTAGTACAGAAATGTTGTGTTGCGGCTGAATTTGTTTTTACAGTTTAAACAAATATACTTACCAGTTTTAAATAAAATGTTTTCATTATCTAACAAGTAGTTTTGGTAACAAATTATATTAATTAAACGTATAGAGAACTAGTGCTCTCTTTAGGCACCAAGTACACAAAAACATTAGCCCTTTTGGACTTTTTTTGCCAAAATATCTTTCACAGTCATTGCATATGATAGAATTTTCATAATATAAGAATTTTTCACAACTGCTGTAACTTTGTGGAACATCAGATGCTGACTAACTTCCTAAAAGAAACTCACAGTTTAAAGAGCAGTTGAATTCTACCATGACATTTGGCATAGCTTGACAATGATGTCGTGCTGTGCAAACAGGGACAACAAATAGAGCAGTAATAAGGAAAAAAATGAGAGTGTATCAGGAAATAATGCTTTTTCTTGGAATAGGATGTTTAAGTGTTTCAAGTCAAGGCTTATCATGCCTTGCAGTATTCATAGAATTTGAGATTTCTCCAATTTGTAATTCTACTAATTATTCTCTTCCCTTTCTATAGGCTGCTGATTTCTAGCCTTTTCGATAAACAGAAAAATGAGATATGTTTTAATATTTAGTATTTTAATAGTGAAACTCGAAGTAAATGCAACATTCTCATTTGGATTTTGAGTAAAAGAAAAATAAAGATCAGGCTTCCAGCTCGTATCAAGAGCAATAGAACCTGCATGGATTTTGTTAGCTTATGACAGCTAAGGACCTGGCCAAAGGAAATCGGAGTTTGGGTTGATACGTAAGCCAGATGTAGGTGCCAGTTGGCTGGTTTCCATATCAACCATAACTTTGAAATTTGTGAATGCAGAAAGTCAGCTGTAAAACTGCACAGCTAGCTATGTAATTCGGAGAGCTCTGGTGCTGGCGTGGGAAACTGGGCAGACTTGGGAGGGCCTGGAGCACTCTTGAAGTCCCCAGCTAATGCTGTTTCTGATCATAGATTAATTCTCTTTCATTCCATCCATTTACAGGCAGATTCTGGCTCTAGAATTGGTTCTGGACAGGAAAAAAAGAGCGAGTAAAGAGAGTCCTCCGTCATGTGACGAATTATATGACAATGACTACTGTGGCCATGCAAATAACACTTTCTTGTTACTGATGGTTGGGATCATCTGACCAGGAACCACTTTCAAGTCTTAAAACTGAAAAGAGTTTGTGAAGTACTAAGTCCATATTTTTTTCATGACCGTGTTTTGAACACCTGCAGGTGCCCTATGCAGCAGACTAATTTACAGATGATCTTTTGAGCTGTAAGTAGCATATCCTCACTGCAAGAATTATTTTGATGATAAGTGCTATCATTTGGAGCCAAAGATTTTGAAATAAGCCTACCAACCAGCATACTTTAAAGCAGCTTAGGTAACCAGAATGTATCAAAAAGCCAGCCAAGACCATGTGGGTAAGCCGTCAGCCCTCAGCAAAGCTGGGATAAGACAGAATACCTCAAGGCATAACATTTTGTTTCTTGTTTGTCAGCGTTGGACTGTTTTCTGTGACTCTACAGCCTTCCTCTGCCTTTAGCCAAAAGAACAAGCAGATACTGCTGTTTCTAAGCAAATTAAATAAAACAGGTTTATCTCTCTGGAAAAGGATAAGTTCCCAATGTTTTTTCTTATCTGTGTCTCAAAGCTTCTCTTTGCCACTGCACCCACGAGGTTCCCAAGCGTTCTGTACCCCTCCTTGCTATTCCTTGGCTACTGCTGCACAGGCAGCCCCAGCGCTTCCCACAGCCCCTCCGCTGAGCCAGGACATCTTGCTGCTTTGTTTTCATTAACAAAGTGTAAATGTGATTCTCAGCATGAGGGCTTTCTAGGACTATGTCAGCTAAACGGAGATACTCATAATGCTTTATTGTTAACAGTGAGCCAAGCTGCAAGAAGCTCAGTACTCCTGGATGGTTGGAGTCTTGACGAGCGGCATCAGTCGAGCAGTGCAGCAGGAGCCATGTCTCTGCCCTTCCGAAAAGAGTTGGAGAAATATAAGAATATCAATGAAGATGAAATACTCAGCAAACTCTCAGAGGATGAACTGAAACAGCTAGAACATGTTCTCGATGACCTCGATCCTGAGGTTAGTGATGGGGGCCAGGGGCATCATAGTTCAAAAGCGGCCTATTATAAATGTCACATACTGCAGCATTTTATATTTGGATTCCGTTACAGTAGAGGCAGTGTACCCTAGAGTATGAGCAGCCCAGCTAGGGACATTTTGGTTTTATTCCTGCCGTGATGTGCTACTTGCTTTTGTACCAGTCACGGTGCCCTTTCTCTATCCCTTGTCTATTTAGACATGAGCTTGTCTGCAGTCTAAATCTTTAATCATGTTTGTACACTGCAGCACGATGAGAAGATTTTTATGGCTGCTATTTCTGAGCACAGCAATAAACAAACAAACATAATGTGTGTTTGTGAAGATCAGATCTTTTGAACTTCTGAAATCTGTTGACTGTGTCATTCAGCGCAGATATTTTTAGCTGAAGAGAATATATTTAGGCATGATTGAGAAAAAATAAGATTCAGCTACACAACTGTCATTTTCTAGAGAGCAAGGATAATTTGGATATTTGAAGACACTCTCACAAAGAATTTAAAGATCTCTGGCCTGGGAACCACTTGGTCCTACAATAACAAGGTTACAGTCACAAGCGTGCTGGATGGGAGTTCTGACTGTAACTGCCCCAAAACCTTCCAGACTGATGTAGGAGTTTGAAAACTGGCAGGTAAACTGGCAGATAAAATCTGTTCGCTCTGGAGACAAAATAAATTTGAAAAAACACAATAGATTTATAGCTTCTAGTTCTATAGCACAAATTTAGCTGGAAGTCAAGGGTGGTCTTTACCGTTCTCTCCCTCCATGTTGCCACTTCCCTCACTACTACCACTTCTACAGTGCATTTTCTGGCATTTGCAGGTATCTGGCATCTCAGATGGAGACACAGGGCATTAAAAAAACCAAACCAAACACAACAAACAAAACAGGCCACAGTGCATTTGGAGTCAGGCTACATACGTGGAGTAAATTTGTAGCGCTCTGGGCACATTTGCACATGCATAGATGAAATGTCTAGTGACTTGAGTTCACTGGCTGTGCTCAGAATTCGCTGGATATTTGCCATGGGTCAGATTTACTGTGCACGTTCTGGCCAACGATGAAGTGTTTCTGCAGTACTCTGCGGCATCTTCAACATGTTGGCTTTACTCCACGTGCACTGCAGAGGCCGCGTACCTGTATTCCTTTCTGGGATTTCCTGGACTGAAATGTAGGAGCCTTATGCATCTTCCTATATTATGGGATGCAGATGCAGTGACATGGTCACACAGCTCCATGTTTAAAGTGCGGCTTCGTCTGCTCGCTGCCTGCATACTCCAGATGACTGAAGTCCACATCATTCACCAATTACTTTCTGTGCATGCCATTCATTTCTCAAGTCCAAGAGACATCTGCATTAGAACGAAAGGAATTTTTTAAAAAATGAAAAGAGAGAGAGAAAAATGGGGAAGCAAAAGAGTAAATGAAGAGAAGAAAATGTATAGAAAACTCATCCTGGTCTATTTACCTGGACTGCAAACTCTGTGGTTATAATATGCGTAACACAAAGGGTTCTGATCTTGCTTAGTTCTTTGGTGCTGTGATTGTAAATATGGTTAATAAAAATATTAATAGGTGGTACAGTCAAGAAGCCTGACAGATATACTGGTTTTAACGGTCACGTTTAGGTAATGTGTGTTATTGCTGCCACGGAAGAGCATTATGTGAAGTAACGTGCAAAGAATGATTTCACTTAAAAACCAAGGACATTGAAATGAAATTTGGAACACCATATGAAACTGCCTCATCTGCTTTACATGCCTCCCTCCCTTTCACAGAATGCCTTGCTTCCAGCGGGATTTCGGCAAAAGGACCAGACCACTAAACCTGCCACGGGGCCTTTTGACAGAGAACGCCTGCTCTCGTACTTGGAGAAGCAAGCGCTTGAGCACAAAGACAGAGAAGACTTTGTACCATTTACCGGGGAAAAGAAAGGTACCGTCCTTCTTTGTGTCGGTGTTGAGTGACGGACTGCCTGGGTGCAGGCACCCGCCGCTGCCTGCCCTTTTTGTGGAATACGCTGGGACGAAAGAGGCGCAGGCTGTTCCTGTGGAGGGCGAAGCTCAGGAGTCAGGTCTAGAGCCGTCGTAGCAGGAGACGAGGGGGTGGTTTCATCTGCCGCGTAGTGGTCTGCCTTGCTACTCCGGAGTCATAACGGCAGGTTTGATCAGGCCCGTGGGTGGGTATGGGAACGCACGGGCGCCAGTCCAGCAAAGGGCTCGGTCACCAGCTCCCAGATCAGCAAATGCCCCTATTTGCAGTCAAGCGTGGACAAAGGTGGCCTCGCTAACCTCGCTGGGACTATTCCCACATTAAACATTAGGCCCATGCAAGGGTACTGCAGTGGGGGAGGTGTTTAGGAGGAAACGTATAAATGCCTTTCTAAGTAAGTATTGCCTACAGTTCCTGTAAATAATAGCTCAGGGAATACACTTACAAAAAATAAGTATTTTTCCACTTGTTTACTAGCACATCTGGCAGTGCTATTCATGCGGACAGTGTCTCTGCTTCCCCTTGTCCTACAGCTACAGGAGAAAAAGGGAAAAACAGGAAAACCTAATTCTAATCATTCACAGGATAACCTTAGGGCAGGAAGAGTCATATTTTTAAGCAAACAATGTTCCTTTAGCACCATTATCTCCTTTTCCTCATTTATATAAAGTGGATAAAAATGCCTACCTCAGGCCACCCTTTCATTCAAGAAGGAACTTACTATGGGTCCATTTCTGGCCTTCTAATGAATTTGCCATTATTTCAGTGGGATCGGCTTAAGGGAAAGCAGGTATTTCGAGAAAGTCGAAGGCAGCATTTTTTACTTTATGTATCATTACCAAAGGTATATAAAGTTATTTGCAGGCCAAGAGTGGTTACTATCATTACATTGTGTTCTCAGTCTTTGAAACAGTGGCTTCAGACAAATGAGACATTTTTCAGCTAGATCTGATTGATGCTATATGATGCAGCATATTCTTTAACCTACTTTTCCTCCATCATAACTTGCGCTTACTGCTATTCACAGGGTTGATTCTGAGCCCACTGAAATGCAGTGACACTCCAGTGATCCTGTTGGTAGCAGGGGTGATCAAGCACATCCTGTACAGAAAGGGAAATGGCTTATTGTAGTATGGATTCATTACCAATTGTTTCCAGTCTCCTACAGACCACTGTGTTAGAGCAGTACAAGTTAGCACTTGCAGGTCTGCATACCAACACCTTCTGTCAGGTCTCATCGTGCTGATATTTACTGACTTAGGGCTAAGACTTTGCATTTTGCACTGTGGTCATGTCAGAGATCTCCAAACATGCCTGAAACATAAGTACACAAAAAATTAGCGGTGCGTGGAATCGCATATACCCATAGGAGTGGCGCTTGATCTGTACAAAACTAATCCCTGTGTTGTCCCTGACAGTGTTATTGTACGAACTGGCCTGTTTATTCTATTTCGGTTTTCTTTTGATGAGGCTAAAGCAGTATTATTCCTACGTTTGCTTCCAGATGCCCTTAAAGTGCTTATTAGTGCTGCTTATTAATTCCTGGTGTCTCTGGTGTGGAAATACCACTGCTTTACACACACAAATAACCACACATTTCACTTTTCCCTCGGCACAGAGTGAATTCAGCCATGCTAGCATTTAAAGCTATTCTTATTTTGACTTTTGATTCACTGTGATCATTTACTTCAGAATTACAATTTAAAGAATTATCACAATTATGAGGTTATGACAGCATTTTAGGCTAAAGGAATTATTCCCTTAATTTCTCCTGTTCCTTGTATGACACCAGTTCCTGACAAACCCTCAGTATTGGCTTTAGCAGATTAAATCAAATGAAAACAACCGCATGTTCTGTGATTTCTGCAGTCATTTTACAATTATAATCTAAATGCAAAGAATTCTACTAAATTTTCTTTGAAGTCAAAGGCCAAATGCCATGAAAATACCCTTTGTTTTTCTGTTAATATTAGAAATAACTGAATTAATCTGAGATCTGCTGAAGTCCAGTACCTTGAACATTGAGAAGTGGTTGGACTGCACAGTGTCATTTTTGTGCTGCTTTAAGGGAAGTGGCTTTGAGAAAGAATCTGGCTTTTTTGAGCTTGGCATATCCCCAATTGGTACTTGAGTGACTCTGCGGCTGCCCCTGGCTTGCTTGGTAGGAAGTGTCCTACAGAAAGACCACCAGACTGCAAGCACGGGGCTTCGCTGCCTCCTTTTCTTGTTCTCCTCCCCTCTTGCTCTGCACTGCAGAGACTTCATGCAGAATCTGAGCCTCAAAAACCATATGACTGAAGTCTCCATCTGCCAAATGTACCGAAATCTTCCCGTGAATTGTACGATAATCCTGCTAATTGGGCGAATCTGGTGAAACGTGATGAATGTTGCACAAAGGCCATGTGTGGCTGGCTCTGGATCCTAGAATCTGTGCTTGTAACTGCAGCATTACTTATTTTGACACTGTCAATTGAAAAAAACAGTAACAGAATGACTGTATTAAAATATTAATTACTTGATTTGCATTTATAAGATGTTTTCTGTGCAAGGAAATAAAGCAATCCTGCAAAGACATTTCCAAGATATGATACTACATGCTAGATTTGAAGTCACTTTAATTAGAGAATAATTAGTATTCTTCCAAAGCTTAGTAATTAGTTCAGGGTAAATAATTTACATTTTTAAAATGCATCCTCAAAAGAAACTAAAGAAGGATATCTCTTGAGGAAAAGCTTATTCCTCACCTTCTGCATGTTGGTGGTCTCCAAGGTGTATTTACAGATTGGTAAATATTTATATGATTATATTATATAGATGCCTGTTAAATGATTTCTTTACATTATAGCAGCACTGTAATGTAGCCACACTGTCAATAGCCCCAAATTAACTTTACACTAATTCTGCTAGTTAAAAGTTAAGTTCTGGGGCAGCTCTAAAGTGCATCCAGTTGTGTATAATTAGAAATGGGAGGTGTTGATGCCAATGTACCATTTGGCACTACTTACCGCCTGAGAATATTTGTGTGTTAGTAGGATTAGAATATGTCAAGTGTTGTTTAAGCTTTTGTCAGTGTTTTGTACTTTGATATTTGTCTGCCGCTGGGAAAGCATTTATTTTTTCAAATTTAGAAAGTGGGATGCTTCTACCAAATGTTAAGTGACATTTCTACCAGCTCCTACATTTATCGTGCAAAGCTGGTACTGACTTGAAAATTCAGTAATGAGCCGAAAAGAAGGTAGTGTTTAAAATATCCTCCTTCCAGAATAGTCTGTGATAAAAAATAATGATGTATCTACTCTCTCTGCCTCTCTTTTTTTGTTGTTAATGTTTTATTAGAGAGTTCTCGACCAAAAAGCAATACTGAGCAGCTGCTGAAGGACAAAATTCAGTTGCCTACATTGATCTCTATGTGCTGAACACACAACCATAAGGTTTTGATTGTGCTAGAAAACAAGCCAAAACAAATTCCAGAGCTGACAGGGATATTCAGAGTGGTTAAAACACAGGAAATGTTAAATATGAGCTCAAGGTGGGGGGCTGATTGTGCAGGGAATTGCCTTGTTTTTGATTGTAATCGTGGTTTTGAGAGGTTGGAAATGTTTGGCAAAACCGATCAAATGTATGGCATGCATTAGGGTTTTGGCCCTCTGCCGTATTTCAGCTTGTTAATGTACTACACTAATTGCTGTGCAAAAAAAAAGGTTTTAAGCCTGTATGGGATAGGTCTCAAATTTCAATGAAAACCCAAGTTTTGCGCTGAACCAGGGCCAGAACGGTCACAGCTGGACAGGCGCACACCCAAACTGGCCACCAAGCAATTTTTTCATACTGCTTTACCCCGCGTCCTCCCTAACACGAGTCAGGGGTGGGTGCTTCATTTGAACGTCCCCGTGGTGAGTGTTTGCTCCCACTGTGGTATGGAAACGATCTGGTGGCTTTCAGGAACTCTTGTGCAACACAGCCATTAATCAGCCATTCCCACAAACAGGGGGTTCGTTATTAATGAGCAATGGAGGTTTAGGGAGTTAGGGCTGATAATTGTAGCCATAGTGATTGGCAGTTTATAAGTGTTTATGTATTTTTGGATTAGTTCCTACTTAGGATACATATTCTAGAAATCCTTACGCAGAACCTGATGAACTACAGAAGTTACTTAGACCGACCTGCTGCATTTAACACGTATAGCTGGAACAGCCAGTTATCACACTTTGATCACTGTGAAGCCTTTTCTGTATCATTTTCAAGTTCATGAAAGGTCCACGAATAAAAAGAAAAGGTGCAGAAAGTAAGGGGCAATGCAGGCACAAAATATTAAAGAGCAACGTCAATGCTGCATGTTTTCTCTTACTGAATGTGGTATGTACATCTGATCTCAGTTAAGATCTGAGTACTACTGTAATAAAAACATAAACTATTAACAACATTTCTGTTTCTGCTTTGTTGCAGTGGTTCTCTTAACTACATGGTACTAATGAAACATAATTGAAAAAAGTTCTGTTGTGAAATATCCTTAGATATGAAAAGTTGGCCGTGCCATTTTTAATTGCTATAAAGATGGCTGTTTCAACCCTTCACCATTATCCCTGTTTTCTACAAGGTCTTCTGCTCCTTGCCAAACCATTTCATCTTGGATCTGATCCAGTTCTCCTCAGAGTCATGGAAAAACTCCAGTGGATTGGGCTGTTATTATTTGTGGCTGGAAAGGGAAGTGGAACACGTTTGTATGTGATTAAATGCTGACATTTTTAGCCAACTGATAAAAGGGAAAAGGAAGAAAATAAAGATGATTAAACCAGAGAACTTTTGGGCAAACCCCTGTTTTCAGTTGCTCTGGCAAAGACCATCTATCTTGCATGTTGTGCTGTGCCAAGAAGAGTATCAATACACAGCACTAGTAATAATGACAGTAATTTTCAGAAGGTCAAAGTAATAGAGTAGATGCT